TCTAGGAAGTTAGACCGCAAATTTTTTAATGGTGCCAACCAATGAGGGTTTAGAAGAAACAAATTGACGAATGAGGGTGCTCCGCACCAGCAGATGCGCGCATCATGCGACTTCTCGGAGTTGCATGATGCGCGCACCAATGATGCGCCAGATTGCTAGGACGAGAAATTTCTCGTAAATCGGCAACATGTTAAATTCTGGTCGCCGAAAAGTGAGAAACTGAACGAGAATGAAATGACTTAGGGAAAGTGGGGTACAAGTACAAACCCTAGAAATTTGTACCCCATATGTGCTACCCCACTATAGCCTACAGTAGCTATGTCATATAAATCTGACACACCCCCATAGGCAAAGTGGGGGAGAACAAGGGGTCACAAGACCAGTCAAGCAAAGCAAAGCAAGCTCAGGGTGGATCACAAAGTCACCACACATTCCGAGCACAAGTTCAAGGCCACAAGGCCAGTTCACATGCGGGATTACATATATATATAAGGCTAGACAAGCAAGAGCAGGTGTGTATATATATGCAACAGTACAAACAAGGCCAAGGGTTGAGCAAGTGAGGCAAGGTAGGCACAAGACCCAGCTGAGTACTGAAGCGCTGATGACCACAAGGCGCAAGTGCCTTGGTGAAGATATCAGCAGTGTTGGCCTCAGAGGTCACGTACGCAAGGCGCAGCTCACCACACTGCTGTAGCTCACGAGCAAGGAAGTAGCGGAGAGCAATATGCTTCGTTCTTTGCTCCAGTCTCTGCTCTCGACACAAGGCCAGCATGGCCTTGTTGTCTACGTACAGCACTGGAGGAGAACGAGGCGACTCTCCGAGGTCAGTCAGCACGTAGGTGAGCCAGCGAAGCTCCTGTGCAGCCATGGCCCCAGCGTAGATCTCAGCCTCACAACTGGAGTCGAGAACAGAAGACGAGCGAGTAGCCCGCCACGAGACAGAGCCGGAACCAAGGTTGAAGGTGTAACCCTGTGACGACCGCTGCGTAGCCTGGTCGTCAGCCCAAGAAGCGTCTGCGTGCCCACTGAGGACCACTGGACTCTGCCCTCCAAGCACAAGCCCCATGCCTGACGTACTGCACAAGTAGCGCAACACCCTCTTCGCTGCAGCCATGTGCCCCGGTCTGTGTCTCCCAGGAGCAACATAGCGTGCGAGAACGCTAAGAGGGTATGCAAGGTCAGGTCGAGTGCAGGTCATCAGGTATATGAGGCAGCCAACAAGCTCTGGGTACGGGCCACTCGACTCTACGGACTCATCCGAAGGCAGAGCTGAGAGCGAGTGGCGAGTAGGCAGAGGAGTGGCCTGAGGCGAGGAGTACGTGAAGCCGAAGCGCTGAAGGACTTGCGGCGTGCTCTGTCCCGGGTGATCTGCAAGCCAAGGTAGCTGCGCAGTTCACCCAGGTCTGTGCACGTGTGTCTCTTCTGCAGCTCGGACTTCACGTGGGCGAGTCCAGCAGTGTCAGCTGTGGCAAAGACCAAGTCGTCGACGTACACGAGGATGTAGAACGGCGGCAAAGAAGTGTCTGCTCGGCAGCAACTGCGGCTCGGCGACTCGGCGGCTCGGGCGGCTCGGCGGTAAAGCGGCTCGGCAGCAACTGCAGCTCGGCGGCTCGGCGACCCGACGGCTCGGGCGGCTCAGGTGGCACGGCGGCTCGGGCGGCTCGGGTGGATCGGGCGGCTCGGCAGCAGCTCGGCGGCGCCGGCGGCTCGGTGGTGACGGCGGGGCCGCGTGGGGACGGCGGCGGGGCTGGGTGGAGCGGCTGCGGGGCCGGGTGGAGCGGCGTCGGGGCCGGGTGGAGCGGCGTCGGGGCCAATAGAGGCGGCACCGGGGCCGGGAAGGGCAGCTCCGGGGCCGCAGGGGTAGGCGACGGGGCCAGCAGAGGCGGCGCCGAGGCAGGGAAGGGCGGCGCCGGGGCCGCAGGGGTAGGCGACGGGGCCGCTAGGGCGGCTAGGAGGGGGGGGGGGGGGTCGCGAGGGCGGTTTGAAGAGGCCGCGAGGGCGGCGAGAAAGGGCCGCGAGAGCGGCGTGGAAGGGCCGCGAGGGCGGCGCGACGTGACGGAGCCGCGAGGGCGGCGGATCGGGGCCGCGAGGGCGGCGCAACGCGGCCGCTAGGGCGGCGCGACGTGAAGGGGCCGCGAGGGCGACGCGACGGGGCCGAAAGTGCGACGCGACAGGGTCGAAAGGGCGGCTCGACGGGGCTGTGAGAGGGGAGCGCGACTCAGGCAGTGTAGAGCGCGCTCCGGGCAGGAAAAAAAAGGTGGTGGGCCCTAGGAACAGTTCCCACAGGGGAACTTGCTCGATACCATGAGAAACTGAACGAGAATGAAATGACTAAGGGAAAGTGGGGTACAAGTACAAACCCTAGAAAGCTGTACCCCATATGTGCTACCCCACTATAGCCTACAGTAGCTATGTCTTATAAATCTGACAAAAAGGCCGTTCTGCAGGCATTCGGATTTGTTTCGCTTCGGCAGCCATGCGCTTATCGCGAACCTTGATAACCTGTCGGCAGGTTATCACGAAAGTATCTTGGAACCGTGGTGGAATGCATCAATGTACAATGATGCAGGTTGATGCGCCCACAGAACGCAGCCCAATTATATACACACGGGTGACGTCATTACATGCCGCCCCGCCCGCCCTAGCACAAAGGGAATTGAGGCAAAACGAAAAACCCGCGGAATCCCTCCGGGCCCTTAGAAATTCCCGGCTGACCAGGCCCAAAAACCCTCCGAAACCCGCGGGTTCAATGTCATATTCTTATGACAATATATATGTCAGCCGTAACAGTAGAAATTGAAGGAGCTCAACGGGAGACAACTCGATATACCATTGTAGAATTAAAAAGAAAGTGTTGTCAGAGGTCCACTGGTGATCCCCGATTGATCCTAGGGAAGGGTTACAGGCTCGTTGTCCTGGGGGGTTATGGGCGCACTGACCCGCTACTTAACAAGCCCTTTTATCCCAGTGGTCTAGTGGCTGGGATTCTGACATGGTATCAGAGCGAAGGTCTCGGGTTCGAATCCCGGTGTATGCACTTCGGGCATCCTAGTGCGGGGGGGTGTCAGAGGTCCACTGGTGATCCCCGATTGATCATAGGGAAGGGTTACAGGCACGTTGGCCTGGGGGGGTATGGGCGCACTGACCCGCTACTTAACAAGCCCTTTTATCCCAATGGTCTAGTGGCTGGGATTCTGACAAGTGTTTCGTAACTCAAAGTATCAGCCAAGTTAAGGCCCTAAAAATAATATACGATTCTCGACGGAAGGGGTATTTCCGTCGAAAATGTGCAGACATTTTGTTCTTGACGGAAGGGGTATTTCCGTCGAAAATGTGTCAATTCTCGAAGGAAGGGCGTTAATACTTCAGTTATGCAATTTCCTGTCTTCGACAGAGCCCTGGTTGGCATTAAAAGGGTGTATCGCCTTCGACAACATTTCAAATTCGCGGCAAATATTTTTTCTTCGACGAAAACTCAAATGTGATGTTCGACAAGAGGTGCTCCCGGGATGTTCGACAGTACTTAGGGATTCCGCTAAACGTTTCGACAAAGCACATTGAAAAACTTTGCCCCTACACTTTCACACTTTTGTCGAAATAGTACCGCATTACTTTCTGTCGAACAGGGAAACTCATTCGATAAGGTTCCGATTTCACAGTCGGGAAAACAAAAATTCCGAGACGTTGTTCGATGAAATTGATTATCGACAGCAGAAGCCGTTTCTAGATTTTGGCAAGTCAGCATCTGCATTCGACGTGGAAATTGTCGAGCTGCGCATTATCCCCATTCGTCAAAACGAAAGATTTCGACAGACATGTTAGTAGAGCTACACTGTGAGATCCCCGATCGATCCTAGAGGGGGTTACAGGCGCGTTTGCCTGGGGGGTTATGGGCGCACTGACCCGCTACTGAAACAAGCCCTTTTATCCCAGTGGTTTAGTGGCTGGGATTCTGACATGGTATCAGAGCGGTCTCGGGTTCGAATCCCGGTGTATGCACATGTTGGTCGTTGCCACTGTGCTCAGTCCTGGGCCTCCCAGTGTGGGGGAGTGTCAGTAGAGTTACACTGTGAGATCCCCGATCGATCCTAGAGGGGGTTACAGGCGCGTTTGCCTGGGGGGTTATGGGCGCACTGACCCGCTACTGAAACAAGCCATTTTATCCCAGTGGTTTAGTGGCTGGGATTCTGACAAGACAGAGCAAAGCGGTCGAGAAGTTTATTTCAATCGACCAAGCATATCTATCGCCGCCAGCACCCTGTTTCACTTCTCTTTGTAGCATCGAGACTCACCATCACATAATGTGAAAACTAGTGAGAGATTAAGTTAGGAGCCATAGTGGCCTAGGGTTTGGGTAGGAGGTGGAGTGTCGAGAGATTTTTGTCAAGACAAAAGAGAGGGTTCACTATAGAGCGAGCAGTACAAATAGGCAAGAAAAAAGAAAGGTGCACCACCAAACAGAAACTTCTATGACTACAGTATTCTACACTACAGGCAGTTACAAAACAATATATAGAGTTATATATTATTCTGACACATAACTAATCAGCAATGCTGGAGTTTTACTATACGTTAATACATATCATGAACGTGGACAATCGACACATGCAATGTTATTGCTGCAGTAGAGTTTGGCAGCTACATTTTATTACCCCGTCGAACATGTGAAGTTTAGAACGAGAGAATGATTGAACTATGAAACAGTTGGGTACAAGTACTAACCCTAATTGGGTTGTACCCCTTATGGGCTACCCCACTACAGCCTACACAGATGTATAAGCTATAATGTTCTGACACACCCCCATAGGCAAAGTGGTGGAGAACGAGTGGTCACAAGACCAGTCAAGCGAAGCAAAGCAAGCTCAGGGTGGATCACAAAGTCACTACACAGTCCGAGCACAAGAGCAAGGCCACAAGGCCAGTTCACATGCAAGATCATATATATATAAAGGTAAACAAGCAAGTGCAGGTATAGAAAGAGTACAGTACAAACAAGATCAAGAAGTGAGCAAGTGAGGCTTGGTAGGCACAAGACCTAGCAAAGTACAGAAGCCCTGATGATCACAAGGCAGAAGGGCCTTGGTGAAGATATCAGCAGTGTTGGCCTCAGAGGCCACGTAGGTGAGGCGGAGCTGACCACGCTGCTGCAGCTCACGAGCAAGGAAGTAGCGGAGAGCAATGTGCTTCGTTCTGTGCTCCAGTCTGTGCTCCCGACACAAGGCCAACATGGCCTTGTTGTCTACGTACAGAACTGGAGGAGAACGAGGCGACTCTCCTAGGTCAGTCAGCAGGTAGGTGAGCCAGCGTAGCTCCTGTGCAGCCATGGCCCCTGCGTAGATCTCAGCCTCACAGCTGGAGCTGAGAACAGAGGACGAGCGGGTAGACCGCCACGAAACAGAGCCGGAGCCAAGGCTGAAGGTGTAACCCTATGACGACCGCTGCAGAGCCTGGTCGTCAGCCCAAGAAGTGTCAGCGTGACCTGTGAGGACCACTCGATGTCGCCCTCCAAGCACTAGCCCCATGCCCGACGTACTGCACACGTAGCGCAACACCCTCTTCGCTGCAGCCATGTGCTCTGGTCGGTGTCTCCCAGGAGCAACATAGCGTGCCAAGATGCTAAGAGGGTATGCAAGGTCAGGTCGTGTGCAGGTCATCAGGTACATGAGGCAGCCAACAAGCTCTGGGTACGGGCCACTCAGCTCTACGGACTCATCCGAAGGTAGAGCTGAGAGCGAGTGGCGAGTAGACATAGGAGTGGCCTGAGGCGAGGAGTACGTGAAGCCGAAGCGCTGAAGGATCTGCTGCACCATGTGTGACTGAGTCAGGGTAATGGTGCACTGTGCTCTGTCCCGGGTGATCTGCAAGCCAAGGTAGCTGCGCAGTTCACCCAGGTCTGTGCACGTGTGTCTCTTCTGCAGCTCAGACTTCACGTGGGCGAGTCCAGCAGTGTCAGCAGTGGCAAAGACCAAGTCGTCGACGTACATGAGGATGTAGAACGGCGGCAAAGAGGTGTCGGTGCGCAGAAACAACGACGGGTCGGCTGTAGAAGGAGCAAACCCAAGAGCCGCAAGTGTAGTCCTCAGTGTGTCGTGCCACTCACGGGGTGCCTGGCGGAGACCGTAGACTGGCCGCCGGAGGCTCCACTGGGTACCAGGGGGAAACGACCCAGTGAAGCCAGGTGGGCGGTGCAGCCAGATCTCCTCGTGCAGGCTGCCTGCAGGAAAGCTGTGCTGAAGTCAAGAGAGTGAAGCTCGTAGTCGCGCTGAGCGGCTATGTGCAGCAGCACCCAAAGAGTGGTCATCTTCGGGGTGGGAGAGAAGGTCTGGAAGTAGTCAACTCCTTGCCGCTGACTGAAGCCTCGAGCCACGTAACGCGCCTTGAAGACAGGCGGAGAACCCGGAGGCCGCTTCACCCTGAAAATCCACATGCCACTGAGGATGTTCGCCCCAGGTGGGGGAACCTCGTCGACGTAGGTGCCTGTGGACTTCCAGGAAGCCATCTCTGCGTCCATGGCTGACTACCACTGAGAGGAGTAGGGACCCTCGATCGCCTCAGCGTACGATCGAGGAGTCGGGATGTCTGGTGCATCCGGGTCTCCCTCAGGGGCAATCAGCGTGGACACGAGATGGGGCAAAGCAGCAGCAAAGCACTGAAACTCCTCCTGCCTGTCCTCAAGGACGTCTGTGCTAAGAGCACACTCACCCCCGACGGACGGAGGACAGACAGACTCAGACTCAGCAACGAGACTGGCAGCGTAGTCTAGACGATACCGAGCAGCAAAGTCGACAAGCTCAGCAACTAGGGCAGACGCAGCAGTGGACTCAAAGGAAGGGTCAGTGACAACAGTAGCAAGGAGACGCGTGACCGAAGGACTAGCAGCACGAAGGGAGTCAGACTCCGGTTCAGTAAGAGTAGGAAGAGAGGACTCTAGAGGAGACGGCAACGGGACACGCAGAGGAGCAGTGGAAGGACGCAGGGCCATCTGGTGTGTGCCGGGGACCGCAGGAGGAAGCGGACGCGCAGTACGACCACTAGTGCGAGCAGTACGAACAGGGGACGCAGGACGAGACGCAGGCGCACGACGCTCAGCAAGACCTCCAGTAGGACCAGTGTAGGGAGAAGGAGCAGGTAGAGGGGAGGCGGGCTGTAACTGTGACTGCGACTGGACAGGCTGCGGACACTCTAAGGAAGGAGCAGGACCAGGAGAGGGCGGGAGACCAAGAACCTACTCCAAGAGCGTAACGAAGTACGGCCTCGGCCGCTCAGCGCCTCCAGAACCAGCAGGGACGGCACCAGCGCCAGCAGCAGCTCCAGCTCCAACAGCGCCAACTCCAGCACCCTCAGAAGCACCAGCGCCAGCAGCACCGCCAGCGCCAACACCCCCAGCTGCTCCAGCTCCAGCAGCACCAACTCCAGTAGGACCGTCAGCTCCAGCAGCCTCAGCAGCACCCCCAGACGCACCAGCGCCAGTAGAAACATCAACGCCAACACCCCCAGCAGCTCCAGCTCCAGCAGCACTAGTACCGCCAGCAGCTCCTGCAGGACCAACTCCAGTAGCCCCAGCAGTACCCCCAGTCTCAGCAGCACGTCTCCAGCGGCGGGCAAACCACTCGCGCATCTCCTGTGGAGAGAGTGGCTCCCGCCTCAACGAAGCACCGCCGGCGGCCACACGAGCAGACCCAGCGCCCCCAGGCTTGGCACCCCCGGCTCCGCACCCCCAGGCTCCGCACCCCCAGGCTCAGCACCCCCAGACTCAGCACCCCCAGTCTCAGTACCCCCTGACTCCGCACCCCCAGGCTCAGCACCCCTAGTCTCAGCACCCCCAGACCCGGCACCCGCAGGCTCAGCACCTCTAGCAGCACCAGAGTCAACAGCTACCTCGACAGGCTGGACTGCGTCTACCTGGGACGCACCTGATGGGGCAGGACCCTGAGGGCGGAGGGGGTCTACCGGAGGAGGACCTGGTGCAAGGAAGAGCGGCGGCGGGGGGAGGGGCACAGTGCGGTAGGGAAAGAGACGGTAGTAAGGCACCGACTCGTCAAAGGTGACGTCCTGGGAGGACAAAACACGGCGCGAGGTGGGGTGGTAAAACTGCCACCTAGGCGCGTCAGGGGGGAAGCCAAGGAAGACGCAGGGAACAGCACGGGGGGACAGCTTGTCCTCTGACAAGTCGCGGACAAACGCCCGAGATCCCCAGACCTGAAACGCAGACGCATCGCCAACCTTCCCGGTCCACCGCAAGGCGGGGGAGGTCTCTGGCAAGGAGACCCGGGGCTGAAGGTTGAGCTGATGCGCAGCGTACTGAACCGCAAACGGCCACAGAAAATGGGGGGCAGCCGCATGCATCATGGACGTACGAGCGACGTCCATGACCATGCCAATGCGGCGCTAAGCAATCCCATTTTGCTGTGGAGAGGCCAGAAGCGTGAAGGTCTGGCGGATGCCCTGTGCACGAGAGAAGGCTCCCAGACGGGCAGAGGAAAACTCCCCGCCTCTGTCCGAGTGCAGATGCAGAATAGGAAAGTCTGAGCCAAAACTCTCTCTGAGTTGGAGACGAGCTGCGCGGATCCAGTCGATCAACACCTCAGTGACGTCACCCTTGCTGCGCAAGGGGAAGACTGTGGTGTAATGCGAGTAGTCGTCAACCACCAACAGGAAGTAACGCTCGTGCCCCTGTCCACGGACGCGAGCGGGGCCCCACACCTCCATGTGGAGGGTCTGTAGCGGAGCCTCTGTCGGAGGAAACTCGGAGGAGTGAGGGGCGGCGCGCTGTCTCCCCTCGACGCAAGGGACGCAGGTAGGGCCAGGCCCCGGAGGTAGGGGAGGGAGAGACCGAGGGAGACCAGAGACAAGGACACGGGAGGCCATGCCTCGGAGACGAGGCAGGGAGGGGTGACCAAGGCGGTGGTGCCAGAGGAGAGTCTGGTGGGATAGGAGACGACACGAGCAGGGAGCAGACTCAGGACCAGACCTGGACGCTGCAGCAAACACCTGACTCGACGCAACCACCTGGCCAGACTCAGCAGCCGGAGGAGACTCAGTAGTAAGGGTGTACAGGCTCGACCCTGGCCGACGAGTGAACGTGGCCAAGTGTCGGCCTGTCCGAGCACACGTGCAGTGGGTCACTCGCTGACTCGCAGGAGTGAACTGGTCAACCCCCCTATCCTGTAGGTCTGCTCCACTCACCAAGTTCGTAGAGAACGAGGGGAGGTAGAGACCTGACAGGGTGCCAGAGGGGGCTGCCGGGCACGGTAAGACAGTGGAGAAGCTAGCAAGGACAAGACCCCCAGAGGGGTCTGCCAGGGAGACTGCAACCGGCCGACTGAGCGGCGTAAGAGTGGTGCGGTCTCGAAAGAAGGAGCGGGACGCACCCGAGTCAAGGGTGAAGGTGTGGAAGGCCTGAGCTGACGTAGTATCTGAGAGAGCAGACTCACCAGCACCTGGGGCAGCAGACGCACTGGCACCTGGGGCAACAGACGCACGAGCACCTAGAGCAGCAGCCTCACCAGCACCTAGAGCAGTGGCCTCAATGCCCGGGTCAGGCGGTACACACAGGTAACAGTCACCCTCAACACTAGTAGTCACAGTATACATGGCAGCAAGGATAGCATCATAGTCAAGATCAAAGAAGGCAACCCCCGCCCTAGACAGATCTCCCCAGCGAGGGATCTCTGACGCCTCAGGGAACTGGCGACGCCACGCGTCCGTCAGGCGACCGAAGCAGCGCTGGGTGGAGTGCGGGCCCCTGCACTGCTCACCAGCTCGGTCACCGGTACGGAGGACGTAAGTGCAGGGACCAAAACCCCCACCGCGCTGGCGCGCAGTGTACCACTCACGAAGCTGCTAAGGGGACAGGGTCACACCACTCCGCTGCTGCTGGCGCGGACCACCACCTAAGCCACTCCTCTGCGCAGAGTCGCGACCTGCTCCACCACCGCCACCTTCGCCGCCGCCGCCGCCTCCGCCGCCTCCTCCACCTCCGCCTCCTCCGCCACCTCCGCCGCCTCCGCTCCCTCCGCCACCACCGCCGCCTCCGCCGCCTCCACTGCTGCCGCCGCCGCCGCCGCCACCCCCGGCACCAATCCCACCACCACCCCCACTCCCTCCACTGCCTCCACCACCACCTCCACCGCCCCCGCCAGCCCCTCCAGCGCCCTTGCCCCCCTTGCCCTTGCCGGTGCGGCGTCTCCCGCTCGGGGCAGATGCATCGCCGACCGACTCGAAACCAACGAGGTCGGCCGCAGCAGCAGAGGCAACAGAGGGCAAGAGGGGAGAGGGAGAACACCCCTCAAAGACGGGGGTGAGAGGGTCACCACCAGAGGCTCCTACAGCGAGTATGCTCTTCTCTGCTGCTAGGAGGGCCTTCTCGAGGAGGTCAACGGTGAGAGTGGTGGGGCAAACTGAGAGGAAGTGGTCCCTGACTACGCGAAGGGAGTTAGGGAGCCGGGTGACTATGTAGTAGAGGGTGATGTACATGGGGGGGGGGGGTTCTTGGCGCAGAACTTAGCAGGAAGCGCAGCGCGGTAGCGAGTGTCACTAGTGCGGAGGTGCGTAATGAGGTCAGCGACTGTGGGAAAGGCAGCAAGGTCAGGGAAGAGGTACGGTAGCATGAGGCGGCTCAGTGCAGCAGTGGCAGGGGAAGAGTAGCGTGCAACTACAGCGTCGTACAAGGTCTGAGCACTCTTGTACTAGCTAAAGTGTGCACGCTCAGTGGTCGATAAGTGGCGGCGCACAGCAAGGCGAGCAGCAGCATCACGCGTGGCCCACTGTGAGCGAACAATGGTGTCAGCATCAGCAGCAGGGGCAGGAGAGGCACCAGAAGTGAGGTCAAACAGGGAGAGACCGTCTGCCCTATCGCACTGTAGGAAATGCTGCAGATCATCTACCCAGACCTCAAAGTCAACTGCCCGACCCTCAGCGTCAAAGGTGAGAACACTAGGGGAGGCCATGACAGCAGTAGACAGGCAGTGAGTACAGTGGGGCAGGGCAGTGCAGTGGCAGAGGCGCTGCTCTTACCAGGTAAGTGAGGCGGACCCGGGCAAACCGACAGGTGGCGGCGCCTCGGCTGCATTGCGGCTCGGCGGCTCGGCAGCAAAGGCGTCTCGGTGGCTCGGCAGCATAGGCGGCTCGGCGGCTCAGCGGCTCGGTAGCTCGGCGGCGCAGCGGCTCGGCAGCTCGGCAGCAAAGGCGGCTCGGCGGGACCGCTGAAGGGCGGCGACGGGGCCGCTGAAAGGGCGGCAACGGGGCCGCAGGTAGGGGCGGCGACGGGGCCGCTGAAAGGGTGGCAACAGGGCCGCAGAAGGGCGGCGACGGGACCGCTGAAAGGCGGCGACGGGGCCGCTGAAGGGCGGCGACGGGGACGCTGAAAGGGCGGCGACGGGGCCGCGGAAGGGCGGCGACAGGGCCGCTGAAAGGGCGGCGATAGGGCCGCGGAAGGGCGGCGACGAGGCCGCTGAAGGGCGGCGACGGGGCCGCAGGTAGGGGCGGCGACGGGGCCGCTGAAAGGGCGGCGACAGGGCCGTGGAAGAGCGGCGACGGGGCCGCTGAAAGGCGGCGACGGGGCCGCTGAAGGGCGGCGACGGGGCCGCTGAAAGGGCGGCGACGGGGCCACGGAAGGGCGGCGACAGGGCCGCTGAAAGGGCGGCGAAAGGGCCGCGGAAGGGGTGGGCGGCGACGGGGCCGCTGAAAGGCGGCGACGGGGCCGTTGAAAGGGCGGCGACAGGGCCACCTAAGGGCGGCGACGGGGCCGCTTAAAGGGCGGCGCGACGGGGCCGCAGGGGCGGCACGACGGGGCCGCAAGGGCGGCGCGACGGGGCCTTTAGGGGCTGTAAGAGGGGCCGTTTGGGGCCGTAAGAGGGGGAACGACACAGGGCGCGACTCGGGCAGGGGCCAAGCGCGCTCCGGGCAGGAAAAAAAAAGATCGGTGGGCCCTTGGAACAGTTCCCACGAGGGAACCAGCTCTATACCATGTGAAGTTTAGAACGAGAGAATGATTGAACTATGAAACAGTTGGGTACAAGTACTAACCCTAATTGGGTTGTACCCCTTATGGGCTACCCCACTACAGCCTACATAGATGTATAAGCTATAATGTTCTGACAGAACAGACCATATTTGTCTATGTAATAAATACAGAAAATGCATCATATTCAACAAACTATAGCTTTCCAAATTTTATGATATTTACACTATCTGAAAATGTTGGTAATTCACCTATGGCAGTGATTCGTTTTCAAACTCTCTTCGACAACACTTCGTTTTATGTCGACGACGGGACGGTCGACGACAAAAATGCTATCGCAGGCTCTGCTCGACGGGATCCAGTCGACGACGCCGACGTGCATTGCTAATGTACATTAGTGGTCGACGAAACCCTTCGATGGGCACTGCTCGGCGTGCTGTGCTCGAGGAGCTGGTCTCGGCGAATGCTGTTCGGCCAAGCAGCGTCGAGCTGGTCGGTGAAAGTAACGCCTGACCCCTCGTCTTCGTACTCGGTCGAGTCGGTCCCTGCAGCGTGCTAGAAAGGCTGGCCCCGGTGGTACAAGAATGCATTCTCATTAAGTTCATATTCACTTGCTCTACGGCGCACGGGTAGCGAAACCGTCGACAGGTGTTCTACCTGGCACCTGCGCATGAATAAGATTAAATTTGATGATATTGTCAGAACATATATGTAGCTTATGCTGTTGTGTAGGCTACAGTGGGGTATCCCATAGGGGGTACAACCCAATTAGGGTTTTGCTATTTGTACTCACTTCACTCATAGTTCATTCATTCTCGTTCTATTCTCACATGGTATCGAGCAGGTTCCCCCGTGGGAACTGTGCTTAGGGCCCACCACTTTTAAACTTTTTTTTTCTGCCCGGAGCGCGCTCCGGGCCCTGGCTCTCACTCTTTCGGCCTGCCCTGCGGCCCCCTAGCCGCCCGCGCGTGCCCGTTCCGGCCCCTAGCCGCTCGCGCGCCGCCCGTTCAGGCCCCTAGCCGCCCGCGCGCCGCCTGTCCCGGCCCCTAGCCGCTCGCGCGCCGCCCGTTCAGGCCCCTAGCCGCCCGCGCGCCGCCCGTCCCGGCCCCTAGCCGCTCGCGCGCCGCCCGTTCAGGCCCCTAGCCGCCCGCGCGCCGCCCGTCCCGGCCCTTAGCCGCCCGCGCGCCGCCCGTCCCGGCCCCTAGCCGCTCGCGCGCCGCCCGTTCAGGCCCCTAGCCGCCCGCGCACCGCCCGTCCCGGCCCCTAGCCGCTCGCGCGCCGCCCGTTCAGGCCCCTAGCCGCCCGCGCGCCGCCCGTCCCGGCCCCTAGCCGCCCGCGCGCGCCCGTTCCGGCCCCTAGCCGCTCGCGCGCCGCCCGTTCAGGCCCCTAGCCGCCCGCGCGCCGCCCGTCCCGGCCCCTAGCCGCTCGCGCGCCGCCCGTTCAGGCCCCTAGCCGCCCGCGCGCCGCCCGTCCCGGCCCCTAGCCACCCGCGTGCGCCCGTCCCGGCCCCTAGCCACCAGCGCGCGCCCGTCTCGGCCCCGAGCCGCCCTGTGCCGCCCGCCCCGGCCGCGCTCTCCTGTCTCGGCCCCTCGGCGCCAGGACGCCGCCCGTCCTGGCCCCTCACCCGTCCCGGCCTCACACCGCCCGTGCGCCGCCCGTCCCTGCTGCACGCCGCCGTCCCGGCCCCCCCACGCCGCCCGTTAGCCGCCGTGCAGCCTGAGCCGCCCGAGCCGTCTGCGCAGCTGAGGAGCCGAGCCGCCCGAGCCGCCTGTGCCGCTGACTGCCCGAGCTGCCCGAGCCGCCTGAGCCGCCCGAGCCGCCCGAGCCGCCTCCCCCCCCCCCCCCCCCCCCCCCCTTTTTCCCGTCGCCCGTCGCGGCTCCTTCGGGGGCCGCAAGCGGCCCCCCTCAGGTCGCCTCGACAGGCGACGGGAGAGGCCAGCTAAGGGGTGGCAGGTGTGTGGTCTCCCCTGCTTCTCCTCCTCCTTCGTCTCGAGCCGCCCTGCAGCCGAGCCGCCTCGCCGCCGAGCCGCTCTACACCCGAGCCTCCCGGAAGCCGAGCCGCCCTGCAGTCGAGCCGCTCTACACCCGAGCCTCCCAGCAGCCGAGCCGCCCTACAGCCGCGCCGCCGGGTCGCCGAGCTGCCGAGCTGCAGTTGCTGCCGAGCCGCTCTGCCGCCGAGCCGCCCGAGTCGCCCGAGCCGCAGAGCCGCCGTGCTGCCGAGCCGCTGAGTCGCCGAGCCTACTCTACCCACCACTGGTGAGCCCCTGCCCTGCTAGCATGCTGCGCGTCGCCTGCTTGCCTGCCTGCCTCCCTTTTTGGCTTGCCTGGCTGCCTGCCTTACTGCTGCTACTCCTGCTCCTGCCTCTACTGGTGGAGCCAGATGCAGCCCCATCGACGTCTACGTGAGTCCCTCACGCCCCAGCAGCTGCGTGAGTGGTACGCTGGTTGGGGCTGTAGGGGTGGTGGCGCTACTACTGCTACCACTCCTGCTACTTCTACTACTGGTGGCGGCCAGATGCAGCTCCCGCGACCCCCCCGCGCGTCTCTCACGCCTCAGCAGCTTCGTGAGTGGTACGCTCAGAGTAGAGGGTCTCTCAGTTCTGTTCGCTGCTCTTACGTGATTCTCACTGGTGCTCGGACTGGTCAGCCTTGTGGGACACCTAGTCATACACAGTCCCGCTGCTTTGCCCGTCTGAGCGACGCCTGGCGTACCGTGTTTGGAGATGAGGCTGAGCTCCCCGACTGGGTGGAGTTGCTTAGGCAGAGGGTAGATATATTTGCTCTTGACTATGATGCTATTCTCACTGCCATGTATGCATTGCCTACTAGTGCTGACCGTGCCGGTCACCTGTGCGTACCGCCTGACCCGGGTATAGGACCTGCTGCTCTAGCTACTGGTGAGGCTGCTGCTGCTCTAGGTGCTAGTGAGTCTCCTGCTCCAGGTACAGGTGCGGCTGCTGCTCTAGGTGCTAGTGAGTCTGCTTCCTCAGGTGCGGGTGAGGCTGCGCTCTCAGGTACCACGTTGGCTTCGGCCTCCCTCACCTTTACACTTGACTCTGGGGCTTCTCGCTCCTTCTTTCGGGACCGCACCACACTCACGCCGCTTGGTCGGCCTGTTGCAGTCTCCCTGGCTGACCCCTCTGGGGGTCCTGTCCTCGCTCACTTTTCCACTGTCCTCCCGTGTCCGGCTGCCCCCTCGGGCACCCTGTCTGGCCTGTACCTCCCCTCGTTCTCGACGAACTTGGTGAGTGGTGCAGACCTGCAGGATGCGGGGGTTCACCGGTTCACTCCTGCGAGTCAGCGGGTGACCCACTGCACGGACGCACGCACAAGCCGGCACCTGGCCACGTTCTCGCGTCGGCCGGGGTCGAGCCTCTACACCCTAACCACTGAGTCTCCTCCTGTCCCTGCGTCCGGTCAGGTAGCATCGTCAGGTCAAGTGTTTGCTGCTGCGTCCAGGTCTGGTCCTGAGTCTGCCCCCTGTTCGTGTCGCCTCCTGTCTCACGAGACTCTCCTGTGGCACCACCGTCTCGGCCACCCCTCCTTGCCCCGTCTTCGGGGCATGGCTTCCCGTGTCCTTGTCTCCGGTCTTCCCCAGTCTCTCCCTCCCCTTCCTTCAGGACCAGGACCTTCCTGTGTCCCCTGTGTCGAGGGGCGCCTCAGGGCTGCTCCTCACTCCTCCCAGTTTCCCCCGACAGAGGCTCCTCTGCAGACACTTCACATGGACGTGTGGGGCCCGGCCCCCGTCCGTGGGCAGGGTCACGAGCGCTACTTCCTGTTGGTGGTTGACGACTACTCGCGTTACACCACAGTCTTCCCCTTGCGCAGCAAGGGTGCTGTCACTGAGGTGCTGATCGACTGGATCCGCGAGGCTCGTCTCCAGCTCCGGAGGAGCTTCGGCTCGGACTTTCCTGTTCTGCGTCTGCACTCTGACCGAGGTGGGGAGTTCTCCTCTCGCCTTCTGCGAGACTTCTGTCGTGCACAGGGGATCCGCCAGACCTTTACGCTTCCGGACTCTCCACAGCAAAATGGGATTGCTGAGCGCCGCATTGGCATGGTCATGGATGTCGCTCGTACGTCCATGATGCATGCGGCTGCCCCCCATTTTCTGTGGCCGTTTGCGGTTCGGTACGCGGCGAATCAGATCAACCTTCACCC